TGTTACTACAATTTCAAATCTCAGTTACAACTTATGTGTATGGCACCTACATAGTATTTTTGAATTTTTTGAATCCATATTTCTCAAACATGCAACATGAAGCTACATTTTACCATGTGGAATCTGATTATTCTTTCTTACCTTCCATTCAAATGGATACAATTACCAACCTGACATCCTTTTTTAAAAGCCATAACAATGCAAGCACTTACTCCTTTGTTTCCCAGTGTGTCTTTGTCAGAAACACACCGCAGGCCCCTGCTGGTCAATTTCATTGCTAATCACACATGGATATAGTTGTTGTTTGTTTTATTGCAATGTTGGCAAATTGAGAAACAAAACGAATTGTGTTGTTGTGTGTGTACATTGATTTTGCATCAGCATTAGCCCGCCTAAAGCATCTCTCACCGTCTCTTAAGGTGGTTTGAGAAGCTAGATCTTTACACATTCTCTGTACATCAAAAGCAGGTCACTTTTATGAACTGTAAAAGTTCTTTATAGATTTAAACTGGACTAAGAAACTACAGCTGTGCAAGCTTTTCTGTAAGGGTGTACTTAGTCGCAGCGGTGCTTTGAGCTAAATGCGAACATCAGCATGCTAACGCGATCACAAAGGCAATGCTAACACGCTGGTGTTTAGCAGGTACAGTGTTCACCATCTTAGTTTAGTGTGTTGTCGCTCTAACTTGCTCATGAGCACCGAACACAAAGTACTGCTGAGGATGATGATAATGTTTTGCAGATATTTAGTCACAAACCAAACTATTGGAGAGATTAACATTTTGATTGGATGATGGTGCCATAAGAAAAATGAATGGATCATCAAAATCTTTACAGTTTATCCCGAGTGGGTCATCTTATTAAGACATTTCACTCAAAAACTACAAATGTCAAACTAACAAGGGCACTAGATGAAAAATCAGGGGATCACCAAAGTGAGGATTCATCCTCTGGGGACCATGAATGTCTAAACAGAATTTCATGGCAATGCATCAAATAGTTGCTGAGATATTTCAGCCTAGACCGAAGTGGTGGATCGATTGCCCAAACAACATTGCCATCCCTAGATTCCCACCACTAGCATAAAAGAAACAGAAGCTATAAAGATAACAACCGTAGCAAAAAGGTTGTCAAACACTAACAAAGAGAGCATACAGGCAAAAGTGAAATAGCCTGAATGTTGACTTTTGTTCCTCTGTGCTGTAAATACACTCATAAGAATCAATTTTCCCCAAACTGAGTTTTTTTGTTTGATCTTGCGGACTTGTTGGACACACAAATATGTGTACCTTTCAAACAGGTTCATGCTCTCCTGCTGCATTGTGCACATTCACTTTTTTGTGTATTTGTTTGTATTAATGGCTGACACATTATTATGTTTTCACAGCAGCTCTCTCTGATCTCTCCCTGATCAGTGCATACTCTAGGTATCTTGTCGGGAGCTTTGAACCACCGAACAGCAGGTTTCGCTGTCCTGATGCAGTGCATGCTGCGTGCCTTGAGGTGTGTATGTTCATGAAATATAAAACAAAACCTGTGTGTTTGTGTGTGAGAGAGGGAAGGAGAGCGGTAGATAAGAGGAATCTATAGGAGGAAGGAAGAGACCCAACACTTGTACTGTGCACTGCATCTGGCTATACACATACCTCCCCCATGCTTCAGTGAAAGTCTGATAGGGATCAGATTTCATAACAGCCTAATAACACCCTCCAAGGGGTCTCAACCTCACCTATTCTATCTCTGCAAGAGCTGTCATCATCTTTACCTCCACAATTCAGCCTGTCAACAGCCGTCAACCCCTCAACAGGCCGATATTGATGATAAAACAGGAGGCAGGATCAGGGAGCGGGCGTGCATATGTGCACACATCAGTGTAAGGTTGGTACAAGAGTGGGCACTCGATCCAGCACCACCACCACCACCACCAGGAGAAGAGCTCGTTGTGCACCTGGTAGTGGACTCGAACACGGCGGGGGAAAAGACAGATTTCCTGAAAGCGTGGAGAGGAATACAAAGAGGCAGCCGCACAGAAAGAAAAATGTATAATGATGCCTGTTGTCACAGCCTTGACTTTTGGACAGCTCCTCGCAGTGTGCTGCAGAGGAGATGGAGAATTGAAAGCCTTGTCATGCATCATCAATGTAATACCATATGGGAATGTAGCTCTCACACACGGAAGAGAATAGAAAATTTGCGCGCCCCATAAAGAAGAATGTATTGCCTTTTACGAGGCAGCGAAGGACATATTGTGTGGCAGGCCTCATAAACATGCGCATGTTTCTCTTATGAGTTTTTCAGGGATTTGAGGGAAGGCTGTACAGAATGACAGAGGAGGATTAAGAGGCAGAGAGACACTATTTACATTGAAATGGCGGTACTGCTCGAGAAGGGAGAGGATGAGGAGAGGAAGTCGAAATGGAAATAGACGAGAATGAGATGATGTGATCTGGGATCTGAATGTGAATGGAAAGGAGGTTGAAGGTGCAGCCAAAAATAATCATGCATAGGATGTTTGTGCTGATGGATACAAGATCAGCATGCATACCATTTCGCTCACCCCTGCCCCAGAAGGGCTCTTCGGTGGCAATCTCATAGCTGCCTATTTTTTTTTTTTTTTGTTCTCCTAATATTTGCCGCAGCAGAATCAAACAAAAAGTGGATTTTGTGGGCGTGGAGTTTTCATCTTGCCGTCTCTGGTGGGATTGTTAAAGCAGATCTTTGGAGGTCACAGCATTCAGAAACCTCCATTTGTTGCCGCCATCATCCCCTTGGTAACAATAAAGGACAATCGGTGTGTGTGAATCAGCTTGTGGCAAGGATCTGGACCCCTGCGCCTCAGGGTGAAGACCCTATCATCATCTTTGCTTGCTGCACAGCTCTGCCAAGGGAGCAGCAAAGCTTAAGACATCATGCCCAGATTTGGAAGTACTTACTTTCGGTATATGCGGCTCTTTCTCTGTCCTCTCCCTGTGACTTAGCTGCATCTGCAGTGAGGCTGATCAATAGATCACACCAACAAGAGGTCTTGAGGCCAATTAGGCCAGGCAAGCTGGTGTCAGGCTGCGTGTCAATACTGAGGCTTGTCCACCCTTAGGAACAATGGATAAGGAACAAAAGCAGATAGATATTACTGAGTGAGTGTGTGTGTGTGTGTGTGTGTGTGTGTGTGTGTGTGTGTGTGTGTG